CCACTGGCCCTCGTTGTCAGCCGCCAGCATCATGAACACAGCCTGGAGCAGGAGGAGGAGGAGGAGGAGGAGGAAGAGGAGGAGGAGGAGGATGATAGCCTAGTAGCAGTAGTCGTAGCTAGTAGTAGTACCCCCCTCCTCCTCCTCCTACTCCTCCTCCTTCCTGCTCCTCCTCCTCCTCCTCCTCCTCCTCCTCCTCCTCCTCCTACTCCCCCTCCTCCTCCTCCGCCTCCTCCTCCTCCTCTTCAAGGGGGGGAGGAGGAGGAGGAGGAGGAGGATGAGGAGGAGGAGGAGGAGGAGAGGAGGAAAGAGGAGGAGCAGCAGCAGCAGAGAGGAGGAGGAGGAGGAGGAGGACCGTGGGGGGGGGGAGTCGTGCGGAGCGAGACGATGGGAAGCCATCAGCCTCTGCCGTCTTCTGCGCGATTCCTGTCGGAGCGACAGCCCTAGTCTCCTTGATCAGCATCCTGTGCTGTAGCAGCTTCTCCTGGTCGGGCTCCCCCTCCATGCATGTGGAGTACTCTAACCTTATCGCGTCCTCCTCCTCCTCCTCCTTCTCCTCCTCCTCCTCCTCCTCCTCCTCCTCGTCGTCGTCCTCCTCCTCCTCCTCCTTCTCCTCCTCCTCCCCCTTCTCCTCCTCCTCCTCCTCATCTTCCTCCTCCTCCTCTTACTCCTGCCACCTTCCCTCCCTTCCTCCCCCTCTCCTATACCTCCCTTTCCTCTCCCCAACCTCCTTCCCTCCATTCCGCTCTCCCCCCCCTCCCCCGAGGGGGAGAGGGGGGCGGATGAAGAGGACCGCTAAGAGCAAGGCGTGTTCACCTGTCTGATGTATTGCGCCCATACCTCCTTGAGGCCCTGCTCGTCATCGCACGTCTTGGCCCTCGCTTTGGCTGGCATCTGGATCATTGGGCCAAAATGGCTATACAGCTTTTTTCTCTCTCACTCTCTCTCTCTCTCTCTTTCTCTTTCTCTCGGGGGGCGGGGCGGGGCGATCCCCCTCTCCTTTCTCGCGAGGGGGGGTGGCGGAGCCCCCAAAATTCCCATCTCTCTTGGGGGCGGGGCGAACCCCCTCTCTTCTCGAGGGGGGGGGGTGCGGGGTACCCCAAACTTCCCCTGAACTCCCCCTGACTTCCCCCTAGGGCCCCTCAGCGCCCTCCTCCTCCTCCTCCTCCTCCTGCTCCTCCTCCTCCTCCTCCTCCTCCTCCCCCTCCTCCTCCTCCTTCGATCTTCGAGTATGCGAAATGGGCGTTTTAGAATGTTTGTGTTTTTTGTTATCTATTCTTTGTATGTTATTCCACCGCAGTGCCCGTGAGCGCAACAGTACCACGTGAACGCTAGTATATGCATATTTGTTGTTCCAGGTATCATTTCGCGCAACAGTACCACGTGAACACATCTATACATATATGTTTCCATGCAAACTTTCAGTTGGGATTATTTATTGTCCCACATATTTTTCGGGACGATTAATTGTCCCAAATGATGGTTCTGTGTCATCCAGAACAACAAGATGTGCCCGGACGAAAAAACTGTCCCAGAGGACCTCTGGGGATATATGGGCGCCTCCCGGCGCCGGGAGGCGCTGGGGAAATCAGCCACGTGAGCTGATTCTCTACCCTCGCCTTTGCTATCCCCCCCGTTCGTTCCCCCCGAAAAAGGGACCCCGTTCCTGATGTAGGGTTCCTTGGGTCAACGCCCCGACCACAGACATGCGACGTCCTGATTTTTTCAGGACGGCGTTCCTGGAAGTCCCAACCCTTTCCCTGGGACCGTCTTTTTCATCCTGAGTCGTTTTTGAAGGTCCCGAGGCCTGGCGAGGGCCCCCCGAGGCAGAAAATGGCCAAACATTTTCCGTCCTGATTTTTACGACGCGATCATGTCTGGGACTGTATCCCCACCTGAGTTGATCCGCGTCTTGGCCTCGTGCGATGGACGAGTGGAGGAGAACGACCGGCGGCGCGCCCAGTGGGGGGGGAAGTACGAGGCTCGAGCTTCGAGCTTCGAGCTTCGGGGGGAAGTTCGAGGCTCGAGCTTCGAGGTTCGGGGCGTCTTCTCCCCGTTTCCGGCTCCTCGGGGGCCTCTTTCTGGCCCCAGGGCCTCCGAGACTCGATCCAGGGTGAAAAACCGCGTCGGATTGACCCCTGTCGCAGGCCTGGTTATTGACACCAACACCAACATCGGCGGCGTGCATCTACCGAGGGAGGAAGATCCCGATCTCGGTGATGGTGGTAAGATTCTGGCTTCCAGGGGGACCGAAATATTGCCACCAACACCGAAATCTAGGGTCATCTTCTCCATGTGGAGGCAACCCCCTGTGATGGTGTTGGCCCATTCCCAGGTCTCCAATTATCGGGGCTTTTCTCTGGTTTAATGTTTCTGGAAGGCCCGAGGTCGTCCGAGCCCGCGGACAAGAAGGCTCACCGTTGCCTTCCCCACCCCTGGGCCCGCCGCCCTCCCTCTCTCTCTCTTACTCTCTCGGGCGAAGGGAGGAGGAGGAGGAGGAGGAGGAGGAGGAGGAGGAGGAGGAGGAGGAGGAGGAGGAGGAGGAGGAGGAGGGGGAGGGGGAGGGGGAGGGGGGAGGGAGGAGGAGGAGGGAGGAGGAGGAGGAAGAGGAAGAGAAAGAGGAGAGGAAGAGGAAGAGGAAGAGGGAGGAGGAGGAGGAGGAGGAGGAGGAGGAGGAGAAGGAGGGGAGGGGGAGGAGGAGGAGGAGGAGGAGGAGGAGGGAGGGAGGAGGAGGGAGGAGGAGGAAGAGGAGGAGGAGGAGGAGGAGGAGGAGGATGATCAGCACGTGGTGGGGGGACACAGTTCGTCGAAGGACGACTGGGCCGTGGCCGGCACCCACAGTGGGGTTGGCCATAAGGACACAACGGTGCTCAATCGTCGTGCCACTTCCTGAATTTGAGAAACTGCCATGCTTGATGCCGCAGGGAAGCACCTCACTTGAGTGAGGCTCTCGACCTGCCTTGTCAACACATTCACTTCGCATTCAAGGGAACACTACTCGAATGACAAATCACATACACTTCGCATTCAATTAGAACTGAGTGAAAGGAGAGCGGGGATGACTAATCCCGCGGGCCTCTCCACTGAGACCAACAGCAATGCTATTAGTCCTCTCAGGGAACCACCGACCCTCCAGGGGGCCCTTTATCTCTGACCATTGTACCTCCTGCAGGGAAGCACCTCACACTTTGTAAGGCTCTCGACCTGCCACATATCTGAACAACACATTTTGGCAGCGAGAAGGGCTTGAGCGAGCCCTGAATTGTACATCAGCGCGGGACTTGCCGCTATCGGCAAGCCATGAGCAAGGCAAAACGCGGCCCATCCTACCAGGACATCGAAGACGGTGTCAGGAGGAGGAGGAGGAGGAGGAGGAGGAGGAGGCCATTTTCTAGGCCTCCAACCCTGGGAGGGGCCCCGGGACCGACTCTGAGCCACGCTCGGCGGCTTGCCCGGTGGGGGAGGCGAGGAGGAGAAGGCCCTCGCAGAAGGCGGCTCTCGGCCTCTTAGATGGGGTCGGAGTACGTAGATGGGGTCGGCGGATCGCGCTGCATCGCCGATGCATCGCCGATGCGGCTCGATGTGCAGCCCGATTTTCTTCGCGCCGACGTCGCCGATGCATCGCCCACGTCGACGATGCATCGCCGGTGCATCGCCGATGCGTCGCCGATACATCGCCGATGCATCGCCGATGTATCGGCGATGCGGCGCGATCCCCCGTCACCATCTACTCCGACCCCATCCAGGGGGCCTTTAAGAAGGCGGCGGGGCTTTGCGGAAGGCCTCTGGCCTCGGAGAAGCTTTCTTTGCTGAGGCAATTTCAAAGAAGGCGGGTGACCTTCCGAGCCTTTGTGAAGTCGGGCCTGTCCCAGGGGGAATCTTCAAACGTAGTACGAGAATAGTCTGGGGGCGATGTTTTGGATAGTTTTGAGCATTTGGGGAGAATTTTTCAGTATGTTTCATTTTTCTTCCAAAATCCGCCTGTAGGGGGACATGCCCGACCTAAGCCTTTTGAGAAGGCCCGAGCCTTCTCGTTTTCCCCCCCCCGGGCTGGCCGCCGACAAGATCTTAAGAGAGCCGCCCGAGGGGTGGTGCCTCGAGGTCGGGGTGCCAAGCTTCCCACGCCCGGCTCCCTGAGGACCTTCCCGTCCCCCCCTGAGAGAAGGGCACCGCTAGGCTCGAAGAAGTAGCAACCACAAAAACATAAACTTTTGGCGCTCCGCGTGGCCTGGGCCCTCCTGGCGGCGCCTCCAGCGCCGCCCCTGGCGCGCTCCGCACGCCAGGGAGGGTGTCCAGCGTGAATCCAAGAAATCCGCGGGGAGCGCCAATAGTTTATGTTTATGTGTTTTCCCTCCTTCTGTACGCAGCATGAGGCGAAGCACGTCGAGCAATGTAGCGCAATGGACTGCTCCGCGTCGCACACTCGCGGCATGCGGCATGCTGTCTCCCTTGTGCCGAGCGTGGTTTAGCGTGTTCCGCGAAGCCTTTGGTCGTCTGCACCTAGTCTGATGTTCAGAGTGTCTTCAGCTTGCCATCAAGAGACAACTCAATGTTGGGATCGCACTGTATTCACTTTTGGAAAACATGTGCCACCCATACCTGGCCGAAGCCTTATCTACTGTTCCTCCTGTTCCTTCCCCCCTCCCTCTTGTCGCAATGACTTGAAGATTCCTTCACCTATTGCACGTTTTGAGGCTGGTTCTTTACCAAGTCTTGGCTCTCGCTTCAGCGCCGTGCTTTGAAAACTTCCCAGCGCTACGGAGGTGCATGCGATTATTTTCCGTCGTGCGACCATTTAGCGATGTACGCCGCCGCGTCTACAGCTTTCAGCGTGCACAAATTGAGGTCGGTACATTATGAATTATGGTTTCCTTTCCTATTCCAGACGTTCTTTAAGTTCTCACAATGGCAAGCTTGGCAGGCGCTTTCGGGCTTGCAGCACTTACACACATTACACACAAACTTAGCTTGCGCACCTCGCAGCCAGCGTCTCGTTCGGCATGATGGCGCGCAGCTTGGCCACACTGGCTGTCGTCTACATCACGGACGCCTTGCTAATCAGGGAGCCGCCACTCCGGGTGCCTCCGCTCGACCACGCGAGGTACACCACGGTGCTGAGGGAGCGCGGCGTGCCGTTTTCGCTGCGGGACGCACACGGCAAGGACCTGGTCGCGGAGGCCGCACGCCTCCGCCGCTCCCGCGACCGCCGGGGCCCGTTCTTGGTGCCGCCGCCCGAGCCGCTGGTGCTGATCGTCACCACCGAGACCATTGCGCTAAACCTGCGGCTGCAGCGCGCTCCGTCTCGAAGGAGAAAAAACGCCATAAGCATCAGTTTTTGGAGCTCCGCGCGGATTTCTTGGATCTGCGCTGGGGCCCCCTGGCGGCGCCTCCGGCGCCGCCCCTGGCGCGCTCCGCACGCCAGGCAGGGGGTTCCAGTGCAGATCCAAGAAAACCGCGAGGAGCGCCAAAAGCTTATGTTTATGGCATTGTTTCTTTCTCTGCCGTCGGCCTTCACTAGCACGGCGGCGATCGTCAATGGCCAGGGTGAGCCTGTTCCCGGACTCGCGGTGACCGAGCAGCCAGTCTTCCGCTGTGAGAATTATGGCGCCGTGCTGGTGGGCGTGAACGGCACGTTCAGGTTGGCCGCGCGTAAGGGTGGGCCTTCGCCCCAGTGACCTCTGGTGTTAAGTTGGGCCTGTTCCTCTACAGGGGGAATTGTCAAAAATAGTCTGGGGACGATGTCTGGACTACTTTTTGTTCGACCATGTTGGAGTATGCTTTGGTATTTTCTGATTCGTCGTCAAACCTGGTGCGGGCCCACCAGGGTCCCTGGATCGCTGAGAATGCGCTGCGACGGCGGCGGTTCTCTTGGCCCCCCCGGCGCCCCTGAAGTCCGCGCACCGGCAGTCCTTCATGCCCGGCGTTCTAGTGGGGCCTGTCCCTCTACAGGGAGAATATTCGAAAATATTTGAAAATAGTCTGGGGACGATGTGTCATCAGTCTGGGGACGATGTGTCTAGTATTTGTTGATTCGTTGTTTTTTGTATGTTTAATTTTTCCTCGGACATCGGCCTGTAGGGGGACAGCCCCGGCTTACCTGTAGCGGTGCTTGCCCCCGGCGCCCCCGAAATCCGCGCTCCGGCAGACCTTCCTGCCCAGGGGTCATTTCAGAGGCGACGATAGGGGCGAATAGCCCAGGGGAGAGCAATACATGTATTCAAGGGCGCCGATGATTTATGTCTTCGACAAGGCTCCCGGGCGAATACGTGTAATGCCCGCCCCTGGGCTATTCGCCCTTATCGTCGCCGCCGACAGGGGCGTCCTGAGGGTGAACGGGAGCACCCTGGAGTTCGACGCGGACCCCACCAGCGGGACGCTCAATTTGCACGACGTCGTCGCTCAACAACCAGAGTCGTTGGAGGACTACGGCCTGGTTGACGGAGCCGGCAACAGGATGGCCGTGAATGGGACCGGGAAGCCGCTCGGATCGGGGAGCGAGTCCTTGGGCAGCGGCATGCGCGAGATGCACGGGCCGGCGAGGAATTTCGACCCGGACTCTATCGAAAGGTCATGGCCCATTTCGATTCGATCGATGTGATTCGGTGCCGATCTGGCCCAGGTCGATCTCCTTCGTTTTCGGGGGCGGCCCGAGGCTCGCGTGGCGTGGCTGAGCATCTGGCGCGGCCGATGCGGCTCGATTGGCTCCCTGCCGAGGTGGCGCGAGCTAGCGCCCGTTTGGTCACTTCCGATTTTCCCGATTCGATGTCGATTAATTTGTCACTGATCCCTCAGGTGGACCGTTGGACCAGCTGCTACGAAAACGACGCCGTGACTCGTCAATTCACCATCGGGGTCGTCGTTGCTGCGGCGATGGTCGCACTTTATAACAACGACGTCGAGCTTATCACGCAGGAGCTTCAGAGGACGTTCGCCTACGCGAACATGGTGTATACCCCTCAGCTCAATTTCGTGCTAGTGATTGACCAGATCTACATCCCGTCGTTAGTAGGCGATTCAGTGAACTGGGACAGTTGCTGGAGCCGCAGCGGCTCAACATCAGCGAACGGCGATATCGTTCAGCAGCTGCAGGACTTTTATGACTGGGATCCGCCGAACAACGGGAGGCAGGGCCTGTGGCATTTATTCGACGATTGCTTTAGGGTTTCGGGTACGATTGGCTTAGCAATTCTTGGGAACACGATCAACGGGATTTGCGCGATCGACAGGATTGGAGGAACTTACCGCAACAGAGGCGTCTCGTGGCTCGACTCGACCACCTGGCTGACGTTCGCGCACGAGGTGGGGCACAACTTTGGGGCAGATCACGCGTTTGACAACGGGCAGGGCACAACGGGCGGCATCATGGACTACGGAGACGGCAGGTACCAGGGCATCTTCCAGTTCAACACGGAATTCACCAAGAATGACATTTGCACTGTGGTCGCCCACCGTGTCGCCAAGGGTTGCGAGGCCATCACGAGTTGGGTCGCGGAGTGTGGGAACCTGATCGTGGAGGACGGAGAGGAGTGCGAGTGTGCAGGGGGCGCCACTTCGTGCGACTTCTGCGAGAATTGCGTCCTGCAGGCGGGGAAGGAATGCAGCCCTGACGCGGCCTCTGGCGGCGATTGCTGCAATTGCGACGGCACCTTCAAGACCCCCGCGGACACTTGCACACTGTCGACCGGCAGCCCTGGCTACTGCGACCGGGGGCTGTGCAGCTTCGTCACCAGTTGCGACGCCTCAAGCAGCATTGGTAATTTCTGCGGCCTGCACGCGGACAACGACTGCAAGTTTGGATGCATTTATAATGGCCAGTGTAACTCTCTCAGTAGTTTCTCTACGGGGGGAGCGCCGTTTGACAACACCGTGACTGACGGAGCCAGCTGCGATGGCGGCCAGGGTGTCTGCCAGAACGGCCAATGCTCGAGTCGCCCCGCGAGCGTATGCGACGGGCCAATCTCAACAGGATCGACTTACACATGCGACGATTTGTACCAGTCGTTTACGTGCACTCAGCTCGAGGGCTATGGTTATTCAATCGCTTCGCTCATTCTGCCAGCCCACATTGTCTCGCCGCTGTTGTTTGTGTGGGTGTTGCTATCAGTGCGGTGCCGCCGGCCAGCTGCCATTTTCCGGAGGCGGTGCTCTCTCTCTCTCTCTCGCTCTCGCTCTTTCTCTCTCGCTCTCTGTATTGTTTTCTTTCTCTCTCTCTCTCTGTTTATATATCTATATATATAGATATATATTATAGATATTTCTACATGCTCTCCGTCTCCTATCTTCTTACATGCCCAGGTGGGGACCCTCCAAACAAAAAAAAACCTCCAGGATCCAGTATTTCTGAGTTCACCGGACACCCTTGCCAACGGTCCCCCAGCTCGCCCCGGACCCCCCAGGGTTTTGGCCAGGTCTTGCCAGCAGACCCGAGGCGATCAGAGCGGTGATCAGAGAGGTCGAAGAGGGACGAAGCACAAAAGTGCTCCAAGAAGGACCCAGATGGCCTCCAGACTCCAGAGGCCCCCAAGACGCCCCAAGAGGCCCTGAACAGAACTCCCGGAACGCAAAAATCGCTTCATTCCCTTACGGAGCCGTGCATTTTTAGCATGTTTGCTGTTCGGCCCTTAGCAGCGTCCAAAACAGCCACGAAAGCCTCCGATGTCGCCCCAAGACGGCCCAATAGACTCCCAAGAGAGCCTCTACACGGCCTGGATGGCCCCAAGACTGTCCAAGGAAGCCCCACATGGGCCACAAAGAATCCCAACAGGCCCTCACAAGGCCCCCAAGAGAAGCCCAAGAAGGCCATGGGAGGCCCTGAAAAAGGCTATGGGAGGCGACCAGGAGGGCCCACGTAGCCCCCGCAAGGTCCCTAGAGGACCCAAGCTCCCCAACGCGGCCCAAGATGGCCCCAGCACGGCTCGAGAGGGCCCCAAGCCGGCCCACCAGGGCTCCAACAAGGCCAACGCGGCGTTTTCCACCACATTGACCCGAATCCCGGGTTCGCAACCACATTTCCTGGAAATTTGTTGCGAACCCAGGATTCGGTGCATTCTCCAAGAATTACTTATTTTCGCGTGCTCCGTTGCGACCCACTGCAACATGACAGCCTCGGCTTGGTATTGCTTTATACTGTGCGGCGTTGCTTGACATTGCATCGGTTTGCTTGGCATTCATTCGCGTGGCTTGCCATTCCTTCGCATTGCGCACTGGGGCACCTGAGCCACGAGCGGGCCAATATGCGGGCCTACGAGGGTCTTTCGTCGTCATTCCCTGCCAGACATTTCTGCAAGCGTGCACGTACACATGAAACCGTGGCCGTCGGCTTCTGGACAGCCCACCTCGGCGCGGCGCAACCGAAATTCTTCGCCGTCCCCCGACGGCACCATCTCTTTCCCTCATCCTGCTTCTCCTCTGGGTCCTCGTCCTCCTCCTCTTCCTCCTCCTACTCCTCCTCATCCCTTGCTCCTCCTCCTCCTCCTCTTCCTCGTTTTTTTCCGCCGCTCTACCATGCGTCCTCCCCCACATCCGCTTCCTTCTCACTCTCCGAGATTCCCTCCTATCCTTCGCCCTCCACCCGGAGCCTTTCGGGAGCCCCTGGAGGCCCGGGAAGGGCCGCGAACCGCCTGACTTTTCAAAGACTTCCAAAAACCACAGCAGGGAAGGGCCGAATTTACAAGGCCATTAGGAACGGCGCGAACGACCAACAGTAGCCAAGCTTCGAAGACCGAGCAGCATGGCGCGAAGCGCCAATGCAGTCTTGTATGTGTATAGATGTATCGATCCCTCTCTCTCTATATATGTATCTATATACATATATGTATATATATACACATACACACTTACACGCATATGTATATATGTATGTAAATATGTATTTAAACATACATCTGTATATATATATATACACATCTATAGATATGTGTACTCGGGGACCATATTGAATGACAGGTGCAATATGTTGACGCGCGCGTGGCGAACGAAAGGGGGGGAGGCCTTCCTGCCCCCCCTGCCTACCTCGGCGTACCGGGTGGATCGTGGACAAGAGGTTTCAGCGGCACCGTAACGGGTACTCACTAAAGGGGTACTCTGGAAAATTGCCGGAAGTTGCCATTTCAGGGCTTCGTTCTGGCATTGCAGCGTTGCCCACATCGGGGAGGGTTGGGTTCGTCAGGTCACTGGCCAAAGTACCCGTTAGTGGAGTCCCCGTTTGAGGGGTGCTGAAGGTTTTTTGTGAGGCGTCATGTTTCTCGCGGGAGGCCTATTGGGTGTCTCTGGTAGGCATTTCTGCGGTCCCCTGGGGCCTTTTGGGGGACGTTGCGGGTGCCTCTGGGGGTCTCTTGGGCTGCTCCCCGGATGTTTCGGAGGCCCTTTGGGGCCTCTTGGGCCTTCTGGGTGGCCTTTCGGGGCCTTTTGGGGCCTCGACAACACTTCGTGGAGTGTGCTTCTTGATTGTTTTGGTCATCGCCCCGCCCTATAACGTAACGCCCCCCCGCCCCCCCCATTGCGCCCCGGGCACTGCCGCCGTGCGCATCGGGATCCGCACAGGCGTCCGCATAGGAATCCGCATAGGGGTCTGGTCCGCAGTCGTCGTCGTCGTCGTCGTCGTCCTCGTCGTTGTCGTCGTCGTCGTCGGCGTCGTCGTCGTCGTCGCTCGTCGCTCGTCGCTCGTCGCTCATCGTCGTCTGGCGCGCGGACGCGGATGCAACCTGTTTTCTTTGATTCCGGGACGATGACTGCCGTCATTTGGACGGGGGGGGACGGGGCCGACGACGTCACGATTCGCGCCGGCGGCGTCTGGGAATGCCTAGGAATGACCGAGGACGGGTAGTAGCAGCATGTAGGTGGCGATCCGCACCACAGCGCCTGTGTACAACACAGCGCCTCTGTACACCACAGCGGCCGCGTTCAACACAGCGCCAGTGTGTGCCACAGTGCTTGCGGGCACCAGAGCGCTCGTGTACACCACAGCGCTTGCGTACACCACTTTAACCGTGTGCAACACAGCGCCAGTGTACACCACAATGCCTGCGTGCACTGCAGCGCCTGTGTACCACGGCGCCTGTGTGCACCACAGCAACCGTGTGCAACAGAGCACAGTTGTTGCATAGTGAATTGTGAATGGAATCTTTATGGCAAAATGGAGCGCCTGTGGATTCCACAGAACAAATGTTTTACGTTGGATTCGGAAAAAAAGGGATCCTTCTGAAAAAAGAAGCGCCGCTGGAATCCACGAGTCCCCCCGCATCATCCACTATCTCCTCCCATGTGCGTCCAGGAGGCTCAAGCATAATTGGGCATCCGAAAACCAGGTGGACTGATTCGGTCGACCACTCTGCGGTGCGCGCTAAGATGCGCCCGTGCGCTGTAGTGCCGACGCGCACGACAGGGAGAAAGTGTGGGGGAGGAGGAGGAAGAGGAAAAGGACGAGGAGGAGGAGGAAACGCAGGATGAGGAGGTTGAGATGGAGGTGGAGGAGGATGAGAAGGGAGTAGGGAATAACGTCCCATTGTATTATCAACAGTTCCCTGGCGTGGCGTTTAGCTACCCGCCGCAAATCCTTATTCACATGCTCCTTCCACCTGTCCTGTGCCTGCAGGCGCTGTGGTGTACACCAGCGCTGCTTTGCACGCGGATGTCGTGCTGTACACAAGCTCTGTGGTGTGCACGGGCGTTGCGGTGCACGCAAGCGCTGTTGTTTTCACAGGCGTTATGTTGCAAATGGTTGTTGCGGTGAAAACATTCGCTGTGGTGTACACTGGCGCTGTGGTGCACGCAAGCATTGTGGTGTACACAAACGCTGCGTTGCACACGTCTGTCGCGTTGTACGCAGGCGCCGTGGTGTACACGCGCGCTGTGGTGCACGCGAGCACTGTGGTACACACGGCCTTTGTACGGCAGATCGCCACCTACATGTTGTTCCTACTTGGCCTTGGTCATCCCTAGGCATTCCTGGACGCCGCCGGCGCGGAACGTGACGCCATTTTTTTTGGGGGGGGGCGAGTGCCGAGGTCGGCCGCTATCCCGGAACATTGAAAACAAACACGTGCTCGTGGAGCCAGAGCCACACGGCGCGGGGGGGCGTTACGTTACACCCCCCCCGCCCCCCTTTTATAATGCGCGCTGTCGCCGCCGAAGACAGAAACGTGTTCTTGAAGTCTTGTCGGAGTTTGTGGCATCCTGGTGGCATCTTGGGGGGCCGCTAGGGGCCTCTTGAGGCTCTTGGGAGCTTCTTGGGTTTTCTGGGAGCCTCTGGGGGGCATGTGGAGGGCATCTCGAGGCACTCTTGGGAGCTTCCCGGGTCGTCTTGGGACGATTTTGGGTGTATTTCGTGCCGTCTTGGGCGAAAGCAGCAAATGATGGTAAGCATGTATTTTGTTTCCATCGGAATTTGTGTAGTTTTGCCTGTTGAGGTCCTGTCGGGGTGCCTCTGAAGGCCCTCTTGGGCTTGTCTGGGACCATCGTGGGGTAATTAAGGCATATTGGGATTATGTTCGGGCCATCGTGAGGTCTGCCATGTATTGATGCGGATTCACGGGCCCTGTTGGAGCTCCCTTGGAGTCTCTTGGGGCGCTCCTGGGGCGATATTGAGGGAACCGGAAATCGTTTTCGGAGGTTCCGGCATCCTTCAGCGGACTTTGCCTGGACCTTGCCGGGACTTTGCCGGGACCTTGCCGCAATGCAGGAATTTTGCCAGGAGTCGCCTGGTTACTTTTCATCTGGGGACCCCCCGGGGGCCGCCCCAGTCGCGCAAACCAGAATGTACATACAATATGTGGACCAGTCATTGGAGATCTTAAGACGGTTCTGGCCCGATGGATTGGCGAATTTACTCGCTTCGCTCACTTCGGCCCATAATGCGCCACTGTAGGAAAATTGTCATGCGGGAATGTGCCGTGGGCGAGAGGTAAAAGCCAAGAGGGGTCACATAAGTTTGCGTGCGGAGCGGTGCGTTCGGGTGTACCAAGGCATGGGATGGACTTGTATCTTGGAGGCCTCGTGCGGCGTTTTGAGGCTATGCCTGGCGTTTTCGAG